TATCCAAGTCTATGACGTCCTATGTACTAGTTTCTTGTGTTCCAACCCACAAATGTTGTGGTTCAACATTAAACCTAATCAAAGCAATCATCATGAATACCGCAGCAGAGAAAAATGAACTAGGTAGGCTCCACAAGGTCTTCCTGACGCTCAAAGTTGCAAAAACAAGTTTAAATCGACATTAACATTTGTTACTTGTATAATGTGATAATTGCAAGAATGAAATTCTAGCAGAATAAGATACAGCAAAACTATAGTTCATGCTATGAAAAATTCCACTATCTAAGGAGCTTGCGGACCAAAAATATTATTATCTAGCTAAATAAAGATATATTTTTCAGATAAATGATAAAAAACTGCTTTAATGATTATCCAAATGCTCCCGAATGAATTACCTGCGAAGAAGTGAGCAAGCCAAAAGACATTCTAGTGCCGAACGGGTTCGTTCCCGATTTCGGTATATCCACCGGGCTGCCTCAGGCCGGTCAACCAAAGCTAGTGTTCTACATGAAACTACCGGAGTTCCCGTAATTGCTTCAGATACACTACCTGCTCCAGCACTAGGTACGTCATCTGGAGTGGAAGGTGAGGGCTCTAATTGGCCCGTTGAGTCTGCTCGTGTTTGTCCAATCAGTCGACCAGACGTGATGTCATTGGACATCGGTCGAGCTGTCTCTAGGATATCAGCTGCTGTGAGAAGAGAGAGCGCACTAAACAGGCCGATATCACTAGTGCGACCAGAGTAACGGACAGTCTGCATCTTTTGGGCTAGCTGTTCCAGGTTCTGCACCGTCTCACTAAAAGACAAAGAATTCATTATCTATATAGTAATTAAGACGGTCAGTCAATCCAAAAGAAAGATATTCCATTCAAGATTAACCTTGTAATGTCAAAATTTAGATGGGCTACTACAATACTCTCTCATAAAAGCTGGCCAAAGATGAGTATTCTCTAATATCCGATCGAATCAGGATAGACGCGGCGAAGACTAAATCTAGTTGGCTGACAGTCGATCTGCTTTACCATGGTCGTAGTCCATTAAGCTAAGCCTTGACCATGAACATTACTCAGGCGCTTTAGCCTCAAGTTAGTCTTCCTGACGCAGTATGGGAAATACCGCCTCAAGTAGCAAAGATGGAGTGGCCGATGCTGAGTGATATACTTGAACCAGTGAGATAGGATGCGGATCCTACAAGGCAATGGAGCGTGGAGTATCATGTCGAAATATGCATTGTACCATCCGAATTCACTTCCAGTTTAAGGTGCTGATGAGACCCTTACGAGGTCGATACAGTTGTCTACCTTCAATGCGAATATATTTTGAGAGGTAAGGTTGATTAAAATTAAAATGGCATCTTGAGACTAGTATGATTGTAGAAAATTCGACTTTCAGTCCTCCATAAACCTTATTCGACTTAGCGTGAATATGGCTGTTATTCAGGAGTTACTGGCACTTTTGAAACTTATTCAAACCGAATATTGATAATTGCGTGCTTGTTCGACAGGAGCACCAAGTTGCTCTAATTGGCACAAGAGCAAGTTGGCTAAATTCGGTAATCTTTTTAAGCAAATATAGTCACACAACAAAATGGAAAGAAAAACATTGAAAGGTATAACCAACATAAAAACCGATTGTGAGGGCTCAATAGATATAAAAATATAAAATACTTTGGGGGTTCCATAATTTCGAATCTGAGTGAAAATAGCTAGAAAGCTATATAAATCTTGGAACCCTCTTTAAAAGGTTGAACAACTGGTTTATATTCTAAACAATCACTTAATTCGATTGAATTTACTTTCAAAGAATCAATTGATGAGTGCGTATATAGCAAACAGGTATAATTTAGTGATATTAATCAAAAGATCACCTGATCCTAGCTATAGTCTTCAATAGATGGCCTCCAGCCGATATATTAGTTTGATCTATAGGAACCTGTTGGGAAAAAAAAGTTGATTCTTTGTCCTCTTCATTTTCGTCTTCCGTATCACTCAGCTCATCACCATTGTCATCCCTTCCTATTCTATAGGCCTCTTCATCGTCATAATATTCTTCATCGTCTTCGAATCCTCTCTCGCACTCCTCTTCCTCCTCTCGCCTAGCTTCTTCTCTTTCACATATCTTCTCTACTATCCCTCCCACTGAAATTCCCTCGCCCTCTAAATCTTTCCGCACAACTCCGGCATCCTGTGAAGTTCTTGACGATATTTGGCGGCATCTGGCCTCAAGAAGGTTTCCTTGTCTCTCAAGAAACCTTGATTCGCCTATTGTAGAGTTATTCAAAGCCTGCTTCGTCGCTTCCACAGAGGATTCCTGTTCGGAGAAACGCAGAGCTGAACATCGAATATGGCGCCCATGACGCCGGTTCGAGTGGCCAGGAGGCCGACGATAGACAATGTCTGGACGAGGTGGCATAGATGTATTCATCAAGCCAATCAAGAGGGTTCGTAAATTACGCACCTTGAAAGAAGTTGGAGAGATTTAAAGAGATCAGAATGAGATAAAGGATAGAAGTCAAGTACTCTATTGGAAAAAAACATTAAACATTTCCTTTCTAACATTTCATTTCAATGAAATATTGTAAATAAACAAATGGTATAGCATATCAAGTATGAGATTAGAGAGATGGAGGCCCCGTATTTGCAAAATAGTTGAATAGGTAC